GGTAGGTAGGTAGGTAGGCAGGGGGGGGGAGGAAGGAAGGTAGGTAGGTAGGTAGGTAGGTAGGTAGGTAGGTAGGTAGGTAGGTAGGTAAGTGGGTGGGTAGGTAGGTGGGTAGGTGGGTAGGTAGGTAGGTAGGTAGGTAGGTAGGTAGGTAGGTAGGTAGGTAGGTAGGTAGGTAAGTAGGTAGGTTGGTAGGAGGGAGGTAAGTAGGTAGGTAGGTAGGCGGGTAGGCAGGTAGGTAGGCAGGCAGGTAGGTAGGTAGGTAGGTAGGTAGGTAGGTAGGTAGGTCGGTCGGTCGGGGGGGTGGGTCGGTCGGTCGGTCGGTCGGTCGGTCGGTCGGTCGGTCGGTAGGTAGGTAGGTAGGTAGGTAGGTAGGTAGGTAGGTAGGTGGTAGGAAGGTAGGTAGGAAGGTAGGTAGGTAGGTAGGTAGGTAGGTAGGCAGGCAGGTAGGTAGGTAGGTAGGTACATATGGACGTATGTGTATCTAGTGGTGATACTTGAAATCTTGTGGGTTGTATGAACACGCGCTTGCTACTAGAAGCCACGTGGGGTTGAACTCGGCAATGCCAGTAATAGGGTTTCGGCTTGAAGAACTGCACACAGTAATCCTGAGCATTTGCAAGGACCGTATCGGTTCTTGACTGGATTCTGGCCGTCACCATGCTTGCAGAAGGAGGCCTAAATAGCAAGGCACTGTTGAACTGTTGCAATACTCTCAGCAGCCACTTTCCTGGAGACAACCCACCCCACCCCTCCCCTTGCCTTTGCCTCCAAGGGCTCCGAGCAGAGGCTCTACGCCAAACCCAGGCAAGCCGCGGTGGGCAGATTGGTGCGCAACAGCCGCTGCGGGATGTCGGAGGGACGCGCATCCGGAATCGGTTCAGGCTCAGTGTCCTGCCTCCCAACAGCCAGGGGCAAGTTCATGTCTCAAGGTTTCTACAGCGTTGCTTGGGTCGGGCACGACTGAGGGTCTAGACTATGACTGGCCTTGGTGGTTTGAGGCATAGCAGCCATTTTGTGTAATTACAAGTGCTCTTCACATGGCCGTTCTCGCTGTCTTCATTGGGGTTGCTTCGGTACTACATGAAGTTTTATACTGCAGAAACTGACGTATATTGAGTACACAATACAGTTACTGTTGTCAGGCTGTCATCGCGGATGCTACCATGATGCCCCTCTACTGTGGAGTAGCATCGCTGCTTGCAGTGTCATAAGAATTCAAAGAAGCTTTTCATATTGCTCATCCTATGGGCTGCTCTAACTTCTACTAGGCTCCAGGAAGACCGAAAAAATGCAGTCTAGGACTCCTCTGTATAACAGTGAATCCTGTTTGGCATCCGCTGAGGAGTCGTGTTGAGCTTGGGCAAAGGAGGCTACGGCCACTGACGCCAGTAGCATGGCTTGAATAACACACGGCACAACAGCACAGTTCGTGTTACCACGAATCGTCCACAAGCCTGAAGCCGTAAGAATGAAACACCCCGACACAGACCTTGCTCTGACCGGCTAGGACATGCCCGCAAGCCTCATAGCCAGCAGGTGAAAAGTGTCTTCAGAGCCGTAGAGATTTGAGAGGGGGACATGGAAGATGTCGACACCCACGCTGGTGTTGGCCTCGCCTGGCTGAAACGTAGAAGACTTAGTTCAAGGTCGATGGCCTTAAGGACTTCCTTTATCTCCTTTCCAGTGCGGCTCGACCTCATGCTTGCAAGCCCAAAGCCGACGCCCCTGCCTTGCAGGGAGACCCTCAGACAGGGTGGGGTGCCACCCGTGTCCTCGCGAACTGCTGTCTTGGAGGATGTCCTGATGAACTCGTGGAAGCGACCATGCTCCTGCAATGAAGGGCTGGAGGCTCTGGCCTGGGGCTTAAGCCCAGGCCAAGATGCTTAATCAAAGTACGAACCCTGGATAGCCCGTGTCTTTGCCACGACTTTCTTGCAGGGCCTTCTGGCTGAAGGATCAGATACCTGCGAGCAGGGATCCCATGATCCCATGACCCTCTGCGAGCCCAGGTCCTCTTCGGAGTCCACGAGGAGGTCGGGGAAGCTGGCACTCACGTCCTCGGCTCTGGGCCCTTTGGAATGGAAGAACAGAGTGCAAGGACACAACAGCAAGACATATGGGAAGCTGTAAAGCAAGCCGTACCCCAACCCCGAATGCCAGAAGCGATGAAGAGCCTCTAAACGCTGAAATTTCATGGAGCTGCTCTTGGAACCTCCTAGAAGTCCTGACGGCCTCTCCGGCTCATACCAAACCTCCCAACAGACCTGATGTAGGGGAGTAAGTGCCCCTATGACCTTGTAATGGGAGCCTATGCAAAAAAAAAAACGGCCCCTTTACCCTCAAAGAGCCGAACAACTCCCAGCGTCAATCGTGCTTGACATGATCCTTTGCAGGCAGGTGCTGCGGCCTCAGGGCTGCACCAGGGAGAAATATGGGAGTTTCCGAAAACAAGGGGTCCTTATGTTGGGGTCCTTCCTACTATTTAGGGTGCTATATTAGGGTCCCCTATTCTCGGAAACGCCCATATAAGAATCGCGGTTTAGTTTGGGGCTTAGGGGCTTTTGGGGTTACGGCTTCGGGGTCCTGTGCCTGGGTGAGGTCCTTAAGGTTTCGAGATTAAGGGTCTGGTATCTTCCTTACCGCATTGTTTCCTGCACCGAGGCCTTGGGCCTTAAAAGAAATCCTGAACCCCGATCTTAGCAGCATTAGAAGTCTTATAGTTTTGGTGCTAGTCTTAGTGTGTTCGCAGCAGCATTCGTATCCTAGGATTCGTACTAACACGATATTCAGTACCAGCAGTACAAATCAAACTGCAGGTCCTTGGATGCAAAGGTCGGCATCCAGGAGAACCTCGCCATCACAGATGCCTCGCAGCATTCGGCGGAACCCAGCCACCATTGCCTGACGCGTTTGGGGTTGAGGGTTTTACCCTGAACCTTGCACGCAATACCTCAAACCAACGGTAAGGCAATGTCACTCGTGGTAGGTGTCACTCGCGGTACGTGAGTCAAGTGAGTTGAAGGCTGCCTGTCGGAAACTTAAACACGTTTCGGAGGGTATGGTTTGGATACCTAATCAAGCGGTTTGCTAGGGTTCAGTGGTTAGGGCCAGGGTTCAGGTCAGAACCCTGCTACTTGTACAACAAACTGGTTCATGCAAGCTTAGAGGAGACTCAACACCGCTTTGTGCATCAGATTCGTCAGGGCGTAGGCTTAGGGTGGGGGGCTAGCCAATCCAGATAGAATCTAAAAGCCCAGAAGCATGTATCCAAGCCGGGCCAAACGCTCTATCCGCAGGACCTGAAATACTCCGAATTGTTGAAATCTGCACCCGACGCCGGCAGCCCAAATCCCTAAATCCTCAACCTACGGTTCAGATGTACATGATATTATATATATATATATACAGTGTATATATATATATATATACATATATATATATAGAGTAGGCATATAAAGATATATATCTATGTATTAGTTATTTATGTACCTACTTCTTTATTCATTTGTCTGTTTGTTTATTTCCATATATATATATATATATATATTGATTTTCCTAAGTATGTATACGTATAACTGTAATTCTACGTATAGCAACCCGCTTGTTGGAAGCCTCCGCGTCTGCCGACCGAAACTGAGCGGCAAAATGGCCCCGAAGGTTCTTCTCAACGAGGATGCAAAGAGAGATGATCATGACCTGAGCTCAGGGTTGTGGTCTTGGGAGTTGGGGTGTAGGGCTTGAGGTTTCAAGTCTGAGGTTTACTATGTTACTATGGCAGAATTGGGCCCTAACCCCTCAACCCTAAACTCTTAACCCAGCGAAAAGGCAAGGTTTCACTCATCGCTTAGCTTGTGGGCCAGGGAAGGCCCAGGAACAGCTCCTTTTCTGCTTGTGCTGGGTCTTGGCCGTCCCCAAATTTCTTCTCATTTCATGCTGACACCAGAATAGCGATCGGGGCAATCGGGCCATGCAAGGGAAACCAAAAGGAGCGGCCAAGAGTCCGAGTACAAGAGGCCCAGGGACGAGGGAACCACAGAACCCTGGGTTTAGGGTTTAGGGTTTAGGGTTTAGGGTTTAGGGTTTAGGGTTTAGGGTTTAGGGCCACATTTGGGAAAAATGCACCGCCACGCAGCAAGGAACACATAACGAGCGGCCCGCCCGACGGAAAACGAGACCCCGGACCATATAACCACACGACCATGTCCCTGCCACACCTAGAAGGAAAAAGAAGCCCCCCCCCCCACCATAACCCTGTAAAGCCCCACTAAACACTAAACACCTGCTAAACCCTCGAAGCCGCTATGTCCTCTGGCGTTTAGATCCTACGAAGCCGCTAGGGGTTGGCTCACGGTTCAAAGGGCTTTGAGTTTGTCCAGGTCTTGTTTGAGGGTTAAGCCTTAAGCGGATCATGGCAGTTCAGGGTTTCAAAGGTTTGGGTTCAAGGGTCTGAGATCCTGTGCACTTCTCAAGGGTTAATGGGGTGGGCCCTAGGACAGCAGACGATGCACTATTTGTAGTCTGCAGGTGAATAGCGCGGGACCAAAGAAAGCAGCCTTGTGAACCCAGACGATGATAGCTATGATTAAATGTACGGCAAAAAGTAGCTCAAATGTTAGTGATCTGTAGTGATGATGTTGTACGACTTCAACGGGCTGTTCAACCTAACACATTTCTAAGACGGTTCCTAGGAGCGAGCGTGAAGCCCTCGGAGAAGGCGAGAAATGCAACGCTGGAAGCACAGCCAAAGGCATGCATCTTCGAGAAGATCAGAGACGCCGAAATTGCAATCTGCCCGGGGATGTGGAGGTTGCTCTCGATTCGAACCACAACCAGCATAATCCGGCAACTTGTCAACACGGATTGCATGGTGGAGCCCTCGGGCCCACTGGAGAAGCGAGAGTCCCATCCATGCAGCATCCAGATCAAGTAGACGAACAGTATGAACAGTCGTGCACGGCTGGCCGACATTGTGATAATCTTGAGGGCTGTGGCTGACATTACGATGTAAGCAACAAAGGCCTGTATCAGCATGGCCCTCACCCCTCCCTGCATGGTGAGAAGCAGTGGAAGAACCAGTGGCATGCCATGGGGGAGGAGCTTACTCGCCAAAAAGAAATTCTGCTCATTGAGTACATTCAGTGCTTTGTCTATGCGAGATGTGTGAGCGTCCGATACAGCATCCGCCTTCCAGGAAATCGGGAAATACTGAGAAATCTGTCGGCCGCCTGCCAAGATGAGAGCTTTGCCATTGATGGAAAAATGCAGCAAGGCGAAGGCAAGAGCGAATAATAGCTCCGGCCTGTGCGGCAAAGCCTCAGCCAGCCCGTCTCGCATGGGCAAAAGAAGCTCGGTTCTGAAGGAACCCAGCTACCTACATCATGGGATCCTTTACTATAGTTACCACGGCACTAGGTCCCATTATGTAGGTAACTGGGCTCTCGCGGCTGCAGGGTTGTAATAAGTTGCCGCCTTCTCGAATGGTGTTTGCTCAGAAAAGGTGCTTTCTTGAGCCAGCTGCAGTTCAGCTTTCATGCTCTGGGATATCCACGAAGACCGCGCGAGGAACTGAAGAGGTGACACAAGAACTGTCTGACCTTCCGAACATAATGTCGACCCCTGATTCATAACCTCCCTCTCCCAATAAGCGCTTTAGTGTACTAACAGCACGAGTGGCACGGAATCCCAACGGCATGGAGCTAATTAAATCAGAGGACCAAATTCAACATGAATCTCTAATGAAGGGGTTTCCAGTGCGTCAGGCACCCCGACATCCTGAACTGCAAACTCCGAAACCCCATTGTAACCTATGCGATCTTTACTACGGCTCAAAACCGCATGAATCGAATCAGCTTGCAGGACATTGCAGGATTGGGTTTGGGACCTACCATGACTCAAGAAAGCCGATTCGACGGGGCTGTGGAACTCCCCGGCAGTGCCTGAAAGCTTCTGCCGCAGCAGAGAATCCAAGCTCATCTGCCCCGTCTCTGCAATGCGCCCGTGCTGCACTTGCATAGCCTGGGTACGGCAAGGACGAAGCAATGAAGGGAGCAGCCAAATCAGAACCAATAAGCAGGCTAACAAGGTCACGCCAGCAAGACTTAGGTAACCAGGTAATTACCCGCAACAGCGACGACCCGGAAAACAACATGTAACAACGAAGAACCCTGTAGCGACAAGTGGTCTACTCACGCTGATAACAACAATGACATTGCTGCAGTTGGTTCTCGTGTACTGTCCTTCCTGCTGCTGCCGCTGCTAGTACTTGCTGCTGCTGCTGCTGCTGCTGCTGCTGCTGCTGCTGCTGCTGCTGCTGTTGCTACACATCATCTTGCAGGATCCCTTTGCAAGACATGCAGCCATCCCCCAACCATCTCTCCCCTCACATCCACGCGCATTCGATGAGGTCGTCAAACCTACGTGCCCTTGTCGGGAGTTGCCAGGGTTGTTGCCACCGTTGCTGGAAATCATGACAACAACCAGGAACAATCCCACTTGTACGATCAACGCAAACACGAAACCAACCACAGCATTATTAGCAGTCATATCGATTTAGTGGGACTGAATATCTAACGATATCACATGATTCTCAGGGTTTCTGAATATCTTCATTCAGACTTCTATACTAGCTGATGCAGTGTGGAAGCAATAGCAATCGAATGCTCTTGAGGGCTTTCTGAAATTTCGGGGTACCCCTGTTCAGGGGACCAAGAAATAAAGTGTCACGGTTCCTTGCTTTATGAACGTGGGTTTCGGGTTCATTGTGGAGGGTCATGGGAGTTAGGACCAGGACCACAAGCAAGGTAACTCTTGCTGTGCTTGCTTGGGAAGCCGCAACTACTGTGCTTTTGGCCCAACTTACAAAGTCCCTTTATTGCCCAAGTAGGGGTGCACTTCAAACCTAATAGACCTAAGATCCTGATCCTACTGTTAGGGCTTTGCCTGGCGATGCAGGTATGGACATGGACATGTCAGGAATTCTCGGGAACGCGCGTCCTGAAGAGGACAGTAACTCTAAACCTGAACCGGCAAAGCTAGACGCTGAACCCCGGGCCCTGAGCCCCATACGCCCTAAACCCTGAACCCTAGAGTTGCGAAAGGTTCGCAGGCTTCGGACCCGATCCTTGAGACCCGCAGATTCAACCAACTGAGTTTGACTCCAAACCAACTGAGTTTGACTCCAAGCCTTACTATAAAGCACCCACCAGTCTCTTGTGTCACCCTCGCCACTCCGCCCCCCCTGAATAAGATAACAACACAAACCACAAACCAGAAGCCCATCAAATCCAACTTTTGTTGGACAAGTTTCTCTGGCCTTAAGGCTTCGGGTTTTGGTTGTCAATCTTCCACCATTCCTGTACCACAAGAAACCAATTCGCCCTTGTGCCTGCTTGAGGTCGTTGAGCTGAGCACTGGCAGCAGCCAGGCGTACCCACACTTCGTTGGCCCTTACGATGTCATAGGGGGCTTGAACTGGTCTTGGCCAAGGTCAGCTTTGTCCATAAAGGCATGCTACTCGCAGCACGGATTAAGACAGCTGTGGTGAAGCTTCGCGAAGACGACGATTCAACGGCACCACCAAGCACCAACACCGCCCCCACCCCTGCGTCCACCCCCGCCCTTTCGGCCGACTATCACAACCACATGTTCCCACCACAGTCCACGCTTCTGGCTGCTCTCACCGATAAACGCGGTGTTCATGCCACGCTGATGTGTTGCCTACTCCCGTAGGGCTGTTGTGTTGTTTACACGGAAATGCTCTTGCTGTTGCCATGCAAGAATTTGCTGCATTGACGACATGGGGCTCTCATAGCTGTCAATATAGCCCCTAGTGTGGTGCCATTGCTGCAATACTCTGACTACTGCTACGACTACATAGTGCATTTGTCCTTGTTGCTGCTTTTTTGATTGCCGCAGTGTTTTCGAGCTCTTGCTTGAACAATGGTTGGCTTGATACTTGCTACAAGCAGATGTCTTAGCACACTCCTTGCAGAATGACATCAAGTGCGAGGTTACTGCAAATGATGTGAGATTTGTTTCATGCATCTGTCCGTCGGCGCTCGTCTTCGTGGCGTTCCACTGTCAGTGTTGCCGCCGTGGATCTGCCAATATGTTGTTTGTGTGCGTATACAACTTTCTAGATATATACACTCTCTGTGTGTGTATGTGTTTTTTGTTCGTCTGCTCATTCACAAACTCACTTGCTGCGTTGTTGATTTCCGCTTATCTGCAATATTCCAGCCCTAAGCCCTTCATTGCGTCAAAGCTCAGCACCCGGCTCGTAGGCCCAGCACTGCCCCCGTGATGCTCCAGCAACATCCTTTCCCGTCTCAGTCATATGGCTTAGGTCCTGGCTTAGGTCTAGGTGGCTTCATGTTCAGCAGCAGTAAGCCGTTGCTTCATCCGCTGTCCGTCTGCATCGTACTATCATGCCCGAGTTGAACTGCCATTGCGGGTTTGGGGAATCTGGTCAAAAACAGTGCAGTGATCAAAGACTGTGTTGACCGGCACTTACAAGGTCACACTTTGATTCGTCCTTCCCTCAACAGCTAACCCGCGACAACGCTGGAAGCGACACCACTGGTTTCAGAAAGACGGAGAACCTGCATACAGACTCTCAGAGCCCTGAACTCTGATTACACTCTCGTCGTTTCTCTGCGTGTCGGCTAAAGACAGTTCTGTTCGAAATTTGGAGCTGCAAGGGTTCATCCTCGGGAAGTCCTGCGAATGCCGACAGTTCAAAATCCACATCTTCCAACCACTAAGATGCTGTGCCTGACTGACCGATATCACAAACGAAATCAGGCCTCCTACCTTACGCCTGAAGTCCAAAGTCTAGTGACTAGGGCTTGTAGGTCTAGAGCTTCGCAGGCCCTAAACCCAGATCTCAAGGCGCCTGGCGTCGGAGGGACCACAAGCAGCAGTCTCCGAGCATGGGACCAATATCGACAACCTAAGTTTTGGGTTCAGCTTATCCGAGCTGGCAGGCTGGAGGCCGTAGCATGGGGGACTGTAGAAGCCATGGCCGAGTATTGGGGCTAGGATCACGAGTAACAGCATTGTCTTTCTAGTCCAAAACAATATAGCACAGGGTTTAGACAACCTTGTCGTATGATAAAGGCCTTACATCAACTGTAGACAGCTCCCAGGAGCCCTGCCATGACCCTCAATGCCCCTGAGACGCCTCTAAACCCGAAGCCCTATTAAATGTAGGGATCGGACAAATCAATAGGAACAAAACCTCGAGGTTCGACTTATTATATTTGGTCGCATAATTAAGTCCATATTTCCCCAATGTAGGAACCTAAACAAAAAGGAGAGAGTTTCGAGTGTGCTGTACCATCATTAAAGAAGGAATGGCATTACTCAATATTCCGTCCCTTAACCGTAAACCCCCACAGAACCCTTACAGAACTCAACTCGTTCGGGAACTCCTTAGACATCATGCAAGAACCGTTCAACAACTCTTTAACCCCGAGCCGACAGTTTCGAGCTAGACGTGTAAGATGTAACATACAGGCTCTTGCGGAGTAGCGGAGTGCGTCGAAGTGCCGTTTACCCTGCGCAGGCTTGTGGAGTAATTTCTACGCCGTTTTTCAGCTAACATATCTTTTTAGTTCCGGAGGAGGCCCCAGCGCTCAGTTGTGTCAGGAGTCTATAGGGAAGAGCGTTGGGGACTGGATGTGCCAGCATGTTCAAGCTAGTGGGTCGAACCATCGGCCCGGCGCAGTAAATGCAGCATAGCCGCATGAATCCGAAAAGACTTTGGAAGCATCTCCAAAGCCGTGTCGAAAGCGTTCTGGGCAAGCTGTTGGGGGAGTCTTGGGAACAAAAAGGGGCTTTAGGTGCCTACCTTTCTGGGTGTCGGCTTTGGGGCTTAGGGTTTAGGGTTTCGGTTTTACGGTTCAGGATTTGAGACGAAGACTGGCGCCGGCCATCCACGACTTGGGGAAGTCGGCTTGGCGGTACTAAAGCTGGGCCTGAGTTGGGGCGTCCCTGCTTCAGAAATACATGGATACCTGGATAGCCCTTGAAGATCCACCTCGTAGACTCGAAGTCCTCAGCATGCGATAGAAACATTAAGTCGCGACCATGCTGATGCTCGTGACGACGGGTACGACGATGACTGTAATATGGCTAGAAATATCAACACCTGTCCTGCCGTGTCCGGTGTAAGGGTTCCATGGCCTACAGCCGCGCCCGCCTGGAACACGTAGCTGCAGTGCGGCTGTTGCCTGGCTCGGACGTTGTCGCCGACGAAACCTTGGCGTAGAGTTTACAGCTTCAGGGTCCACGATTCAGAGAGTCGGGCACAACTAGGATGTAACGTGGCTCTTCATGTCATTTCGAGGACAAGCCTCGAAACCCGAAGAGCAGTATGTCCTTGATCCTGGATCAATCTTCTACGTACTATCCTCCGAGATTTTGAAGTCAAGGCTCGTCGGGCGCAGCTCAGGATCTTGTTCTTTCTTAAATGCTTCCGGACGTACAGACAAAAACCTTAGCCTGTGGAGCTTGCGACCCTTGACACCATGAGGCTGAATCTAGGATTGGGTTGAACACTTTCTGAATCGAAAACTCTAAGTTAAAGGATTCAGCTCTGTGTGCTTTCGTGCGATTGAAGGTGGGTTCGAAAAAACGTGCATGCAAAGTACAGCACCTGAGCCCTGAACCCTGCACACCGAGTCCTCAATCCCAAACCCGAAACCCTAACCCAACGGAGCCTCACTCCGCCTAAACCTATGCGGTGAATGAGAGGCAATATCTTTAGCACCTACTAAGCACACTCCTCCCTTGAAGCACAGCTGCCAAAAGTACCGGGCCGACGATATCGAGGCACACAAAGTTTGCCTCCGGAGCAAGAAGCTCAGCGGCAAGGGGCTTTATTCCAAGCTAGCTGTACTGAGAGGCTCTGCTGCCTTCGTAAATCTACTTCCAAGCCCCTCTAACCCGTATAGAGATGCGCATACCCCCCATCTTACCATCCTTACTGAATGAGACCACTGGGCTGACAGTTCAATCGCCCAGGATATAAGGCTCGTGGGACGCTCTCTATGTCTTACTATAGTACATTGCTCGTAGTAGCCAGAATAAGGTTAGTAAGTACATGCTACAACTACCTATAGTCTCCAATGTAGTTCCTTTTTTTGGTTTAACCAAATTTATATTAAGGACCCTAAAAAGGTAACCCCAAAAAGGAACTACAATGGAGACTACAGGTATGATGATATAATGACTATATAAGGGGTACTCTTACGTCTTCGGACCCACGAGCCCCTCTGACTCACAGGGCCCATGGGAAGATAAGGTAGAGGCTTAAAGCTAAAAACTGCTTAAAAAGGAGTTAGAATATAGGGTTTCGGGGAGATATAATTGCATATTGGAGCCCTAAAGACTGGTATTGGTACTGCAAGCCAGTGAATCTAATTAGAGCACTTTTCTGTGTTCGCTAAACGTTTGTGTCTTCTTTGAATCTTTGAAGCTCCTTTCCCTGCGGGGGGGGAGTGTTGAGCCATGTCTTGGGGGTTTAGGGCCAGCTCTGGGGTGTTGGGTTTAGGGTTCAAGGTCGGGCTAAGAGATCGGATTTCTGGCCTGCTGCTTCTGGAAGGCCCTGAAAGAAGAAGAAGCGTCGGTGAAGCGGCGAGGGCAAGATGCGAACTCGCACCTGGGGAGAGGCAGCCTTTGGTCAACTGCTTCCCCTAACACCAAAGGGTGTGGGGGCAATTAGACACCTTTCAACGGATGGTTGAAATGCAGTATCTAATGGTAGCCCTGATAGAAACCATTAGAACCCTGTTGTGCGACCCTGCCACCTCTGCCGGCGTCTGCAACCAGTCTAACGCCTCGAAGACAGGCCATGGCCACGAGAAGAGCCTGCGTTTGTCGTTTTTTCGACAGGGTTCTGCAGGGCTCTTTGCGAGGCGTCTTATGGGGCTTTATAAGGATTTTGCACAAGGGTTGGGGCTTCAGGGTTCAAGGCTCAAGGGTTTCAGGCGCTACACTCTTCAGAGGACCCCCTGTGCCGAAACCTGCACGAAGAATGGCAGCTTCACAGCTTAAGTCTTGAGGTTTAGGGGTTCAGGACGTAAGCTTCCCGCCTTCTATTGCCGAATTACTCGTGGCCCACACAACCACTCCTGGGGATCATGCTTGGTTTTGTTCTGTAATGTGGGTACCTTGCTGCAATAATACCCACGATGGCACTTACGACCCACCAGCCCTTCCCTGCGGCACAAGACCACATACACCACCACCAACAACAAGAACACCAGCAGCAGCAACAACGACGACGACCCCCCCAGAAGTGGGATGTAGACTTGAAGCCCTTCTGCCCTTGACCTAACCCCTGGACCTGGGACCCTAAGCCTCTTTGGCCAGTCACGTGCGGGTAACTGTTTGCAGGACTCAGATCTACCCGGAGTTCCATTATGTGTTCCGGAACTCAAAAACAACTAAGCCCTTTAAAGCCTCTTCGGGCGTAAAGCGCTGAACGCGAAGGCCTTTAAGGGTTACGGTTAGAGCTGCCAAGCAGCTGGGCGAAGCTGTTCATGGGCGCTCGACAGTTCTTGACCTCCCAGCGGCCAAGCTTGGGGTTACACGATTTCTGGCAGTTGTGGTCCTGCAATAAGGACATGACCATTCCAAAAAAAAAACTTATACGACTTATCCCTAAACCCTAAACCCTAAACCCTAAACCCTAAACCCTAGACTTATGAATGCGTCAGTGAAGGGTCTACATTTAATCACTTAACCTATGAGAGCCTCGAGGCCAAGCAGATTCCGGGTCGATCCGGCTTCTGTGCGTACTTGGAGATTCATGGGCTTAGGGTTTAGGGTTTAGGGTTTAGGGTTTAGGGTTTAGGGTTTAGGGCAGTTATAAGTGGTGCAAGAGGGGTCATAGGTCCCGTAACTACATAGAAACCCTACTTATACCCAGAATGGGGGGTTTCCGAAAATAGGGGACCCAAACATAGTACCCTAAGTAGTGGGATCCTGATTATACGGACCTCAAAATAAGGCTTAAATAAGGTACCCCTTATTTTCGGAAACTCACATATGGACCTCCTAGTAAGCAAATGTGGAGGTGAAGGCTGCGTGCTTCGGGGGAGTCGGCTCTCGAGTTGAAACTTCGGTGCGCTTGAAGGGGTTTAGGGTTTAGGGTTTAGGGTTTAGGGTTTAGGGTTTAGGGTTTTGGGTTTTGGGTTTAGAGAACTGTATCCAGACATTCCCACAAGCTCCAAAAGCAAAGTACACCTATACTACCCGCAAAAGTCCCAACCCTTGAACCCCAAAGAAGCCTCAGCGTTGACCAATGGCGAACCCTTAAACCCAAAGCTCCCCCTCTCTGACGGAAGCTACAGAGTTACAAGCCTCAACCAAACCCTAAGCCCTAAAGCCCACGGCGCCAACAACTCAAACGCATAGGGGTCTAAATTGGAGAAGGATTCTGGGGTACACTGCGGCAGGACGAAAGTTCGTCGCATCCGCAAAGCCACCCCTTCCCACGTAGACTCCTCTAAGAACTAAGTTTTTGGGCCCGGCCGAAGCGGTCAGAGGTTCCTATTCGGATTTCCTCTGTTCCCCACCCCGTTAATCCCGTCCCCCCCTATTCCCTCCGCGTTGTTTCGTGCGCAGTCTCCTCCCCTTCCTCGGTCCTCGTCCGCTCCGCCAACGGCGCCTTCAAGGCACCGGCGGTTCGTTGGCCCTCTTTGTTTGCGGCCGGGCCGAGGCGGACGACGCGAAGCGTTTAAAATCAGATGATTCCTCGAACTCCGCGTCCTCCATCACGAAAAGACACACACACACACACAAATACGACGAAACTTTCATCCTGGTGATGCAGTACAGCTATAGTCAGGATTGTAAAGGGGTAGTGCTGCTGTTTGCTGGTACAGTACTGTGCGAGAACATTTGCTTATCGACGGTTTTGCGACGTGGGGCACAGTCAACAGGATGCTTAAGGGGGGTCCAGGGAAGTGCACTCAGGGAGCAGAAGTCTCCTAATCTGGGAGGGCCTGAATGAAGAGCAGGGTTTTGGAGGCATGTTACAGTACCACTGCTGCTACTACTACTACTACTACTACTACTACTACTATTACACTAGTACTACACTAGTACTACTAGTCGCATTACTACTGCGACTAATAGGACTAGGACTAACCGTCCCCCTGCTTGTCAGTGTTGCGGGAGGGGGAGGGTGGGTGGTCACCGTCCGCCTGCTTATCATGAAGGAGCTTTAAATATCGGAAATTGTTTGAGCCCGTACAGCAGTCGTTCTATACCCCGCCGGGACCGATCCTCGTGCTACTTCAGCTCCTGAACCCTCAACCGCTTGCCCTGCCACGCATAAATTAAAAACTCGACATCCCTTTCGTTCTAGGCCCGTAAGCCCTAAAGAAGGGATCGACGGGCTCGGGATCCCAGATTCGCCGCCTCTCGCTGCACGGTTGCGAGGTATTCATCGGCTGGCAGAGGCAACACCATGGCAGAAGCACCATCCTGGGCTGAAGCGCGTAGGATCTTGGGTATGGGATCTTAGAGTCTAAGAGTTTGGGGTCTTTGGTGATTTGAGGTGGGGTTTGGGGTTCAGGAATTTGGGGGGGTTCAGTATTTCCAGGGATTCAGGAATTTGAGGGGTTCAGTATTTTCAGGGATTTAGGATGTGGTATTTAGGTTCAGGGTGCGCATTAGGGTCAGGCATTTCTCGGCCTTAGTTCACGCTTGTCCAAACGAAGAACTCGGTGATTAGACCTGAAGAGCCGAAACCCGAGAAAGCGCAAGCAGGAATCAAGGAGGCTGCACCTAGCTTTGCCATACCCGCAAAATACCCCAAAGCTGTCCCCTGGTCGCAACCTCCAAACCTCTGCGAAACTGGAACCCTTGGACCCTGACCCCCGCCTTTCAACCTGGAAGGAAGGTGGAGGCGGCAGCAAGAATCAATCGACCCAGGTGCGGCGATGAGAATGGTAGCCAGCAGCTGGGCCGGGTCGCAAGCGCGACGAGGGGGCTTCTGCAGTGGAACTTTGAGGTCAGATCTGGTCTCGTTGAGCTTTGGGGCCTGGCTTCTGTTCAGGATTCTGGTGTTGAGAGGCTTGGGTTCTGGGGGTTCGGCAGGGCTGTCGAGCACGTGACGCCTTTGAGCCTGCTGCTGAGGCTTGTTACTTGTTAAGGACCATCGAACTCCAACTTGTCAACGTGACAAAATTGCCAGGCGGGTGGAGCTGTCAAGATGAAGGCACTGTTAGGTGAGGTGGGCTGGACACTGGACACGCAGGGTTTGCGGTTTAGTGTTCGAGTAGGTCTTCTAAGCTTTGAATGTCAAGCCTGTCCAGTAATGCACAGGTGCTGATTGCATAGTCGAGTGTGCGGTTTAAAGCATTTCTTGGCATCCTTCAGAACCTTGAGAACAATTGTCACGTGTGGCAACACCGTTTAAATTCCGTGTTTTCATTCTATTCTTCTGTCTTGCTGCATTATGCTTTCACTCCGAATAAATCTTGCTCCGCGAGACTATGCCGCGCAAGCTGGGCGTTTTGTCATCTAGACCGTCTTCAAAGATAGACTCCAACCCCTAAACCAAAAAACATCTTCAGCCCTAGAACTCCTAAAAGCCCCCCAAGCTTGACACTGTTCGGCGTGTTCGGCTCCTTCGTCATCGCAACCCAGCGCTGAAAACGCTCGTCGTTCGGGCCAAGGTATGACAGGATCCTCGCCGGATGGGATTGGATCAGGGTCTAGGGTCAGTTACAGTTTAGAGTTCTTGTGGGGTTAGTGGGGGGGGGGGGGTTGTTTGAGCTAGATTAGCTGGACAGCTTTGAGGTTTTCGGGTAGGAGGTCTCGGTTTCACGGCTCTAGACCTCATCCCACTACGGCTATGCACAGTCGTGGGTTAATAGCCTGGGGTGCAGAATTGCTTAGACTAAGACTTCAACAGAGGTTGAGGATAGTCGATAGTTGTCGGTTGGGTTCAAAGAAGGCTCTTGGGGTTTTCGGGTTTTGGGTACAGGGTCGAGACCAGTGTTGAAATTTTGGGCTTAGGAAGCTTGGCTTGTGCTAAGAGACCTGAGTCAGCACACAAATCTTCAACACCTATTTCTAAAACCAAGGAAGGACTAGAAGGGGATACTACTAAAAATACTGCTATAAGTATTCGACCCCTTTACATCCTGTCATGCTGCCTGTCTCCGGCTCATCGGCTCGAGGGAGGAAAGCTGGAAATCCAGGGCTGGGGTATCACAAACAGATAGTCTTGGATGGATAAAGGAGTGCTAGGCGACCCCCGTTGGTGTGCTGTCCGACTCTGGCTTTGCGCCTGGGGTTTGCGTTACATGGGTAGTTCTCTAAATTAGGGTCCCGATTGGGGGTCCTGTTTATGAGGGTGCCATACTTTTTTGGGAACCTAAAAGGGGGCCCTAATTCAGAGAACTACCCACATTAATCTCAACAAAGGGATGCTTGAATTTCGAAGAGACCAAAGTGTATCCAAAGTCAGAGGAGATCAGCCTCTGCAAGGCAGCCACACCTACGCCCCAATCCAATTCTGAGTGACGTGCTTGTTCTCTCTGAAGTCGGCATTCCAAACTCCTAAACTGCCCGGAACTTTAGACGCTCTAAACCTGAACCCTCTAGCGAGCCCCAGCTCACGTGTCTAATGTAGGGGCCTTAATGAATCGAACAGGGCTCACGGGGTATATTCTGACATCAATGTGATCGGGAACCCTAGGAACTACCATCAGAAATTACTCAGACGTCTATATTCAGGCAAGAATCTCATCTGGAAAAGACTGTGGACGCAGTACCCGCGCCAAGTCGTCCCTGGCGATTAAAGCCTCAAACTCCTAACTCGAAAGCCCTTGTAAACCTCCTACGGAACCCGTTACGACTCCGTTGGAACCTGTATAGAACGGTTTTTTCAGAAACATGACGATCTGCGGGTTTAGGGTATAAGGGTCCGTGTACCTATATTGCCCTTAAGCCCTCAAGCCCTATGCACGCCCTTAAATCCTAAACATCGAAACCGCAACCACATGAACCCTCCAACTGCTAAGCCGTCTTCAGGATGCTAGGTTTCTGAGGCCCCCCAGGCGAGCTGGGACATCCATGGCTCTGAGACTTAGGAAGCCTTGGAGGGTGGGCTTTGGGTTTCCGTTGAAGCCTTAGTACCGCGGCGGCTACCTCGAGGATGGTATCAGGGCCCTGATCCTCAAGATACGGTTTTGGATGCTTTCGCACTTGCTACGGTATAGTCATATCGGGACAAGGTACACCAAGAGTAGATGTTCCGACCCCTACATGTTTCAGACTGCTGCATGTCAGCATCTATCCCGTCCAGATCCCATGCACACGAAAATCTGGCACAGGCGGAGGTTCGGGACTTTTGCCTGGTATAGACTCATCGTAAAACTCCGTGCCAAGAACGGAACATCTAGAAGCTCGACAAACAAGCGCCGAAAGCTCGCCCTCCGGAAACCATACACAGCGTTGGCCCCGAAACCCTGCATAACCTGCGGCCTCCAAATCCTATCTTTTCAGGGCATGCAATTGTGATAGTCAATATAAGGGGTACTGTGGGGGCCGCTAAGGGGTATATTATACTCTGATTCCAACTGGAGCCTTAAGAGAAATGTTATTGGTAACTTTTCCGACCTATACATCACTCGGGACCTCCCGTGCGTATCGGCCACGTGCGAAAGCGCCTGAGTTGTCGTACCCAGGTCTCCTCCTGTCCGGTGATGTTCGTGGGTAGATACAGCCTCGGAGGCCCTAAACCCTAAACCCTAAACCCTAAACCCTAAACCCTAAACCCTAAACCGGTTTAATGTCGGGGGCCGTGATAACTAGACTAGGGCTCTCTGCATTTAAGGGTTCTATTAAAACAAGCCCTCTACAATGCTCTACAAGGGCTCCACAAGAGATCAGGGCTTTAATATAGTGGCCTAGAGTAGTGTTTCGCGCCATAGCGTAGTATATAAAAATAAGACATTTCAGATACGATTGTACAGCAATTAGTATTTGGATCTCTAATATATATTGCTTCATCAGAATTTCAGAACTGCAGGGAACCCTACACGGACACCATCACAAGGAACCCGCATTGAAAGGTTTCGGCTAGCGTCGGTTAGGGGTTCCTGTTCATGCTGCAGCACGATCTTTAGGATCCAGGCATATCCTCAGCGGCTTCGTGGAATCTTGGGCAGCTGCGGTTCCAGGTGAAGTCAGGCTAACCGACCGTGGCGTCGAGATGTCCAGGATTCGATAGACACGGCTTGCATAACAGGATTCGTCAGGCAGCTGGGACCATAATTACCGGAGGAAGTGGAGTTTGAGGTCCGGAAGTTCGGCTTGAGGCTCGCAGGCTCTTTTCACATCCCAGGTGCTTGTTGCCACTGATTCTCGTTGACCAAGCCGCCAGAACGGCGAACAAGGGCCACCCGGAACGAATGATGTCACCCCAGGTGATCTCGTCCTCGCAAGCTTCTCTGCCTCGCCCTTTCGTTGGATCCCCTGTGAACCAGCCTTTCCGCGAAACTCCGAAAACAGGACCATGAATGGCTAGAAAGCCTCACGAACTGCCGACTAAAGGGTGGGAGTAAGGCCTGAAATCGGGTTTGGGCTGAGGTGGCGGTTTGGGATCTGGGGTCGCTGGTAGTTCAGTTGATGTCAGACCCCCTGCACTCCAATGACACGTGACCTACACAAGAACCCTAGGACAGGCTTCTAGAGACTATGAGCTTGAAATGAGCCGCGGGACCGTTGGGGGTTCCAAAGAAAAGAGGGCATGAACACAAGGATCCTACCTTGGGATCGACAGGCCGTTGACAGTAGAATTACTCGCAAAAATATCATGGATACCTATATGTTGAAGGGTTCGGGGGGTGTTTGATATTTCTCAACATATTGGCATGCCATGCATCCATACATCCAACACTCTGTGCAATTTTACAACCGCCTGTCCTGCAGGAAGAACAAGGTGTCGAGTTTCATCCTGGGTCTCTTGGTCAACGTCTGAATCCTTTGAGACCCTCAGAAACCTTTCACTCACCTAGCTGACCCTAAATCCTGGAAGCCATCTACGGACACGCAACAGTGGCTACAGTTGAAGGTGTCTGTGTCAAGCAGAACAAGCGATGTTGGCCAGCAGCCAAGACGAACAAGACGGCTAACCGAGACTCCAGGTCGTGCCCCACTTGAGAAGAAAGCTTCATGTGGGTTTGACATAGCAACAAGCATAGCAAATTCTCCTGTGACAGCTTAGACCCCCCAAATCCCTGAACCCCTACACCCTGCAAGCCTTACACAGTAAACCCAAGTACACCCTTGAAGCGCCCGCATACCTTTTGCGAGAAGCACCGTATACCCAAAATGGAAATATAACTGTTGATAAGATGGAACACCCGGTGTGCATGCTCAGCGGCAGCATGTCCCAGAGGCTGAAGGTGACTAGGTTTCTGGTCATCTCGGAGGAGCAGGTGGTTTGAGGGTCTGGGTTTTTGTGTTGAGGATAGGGGTTCCAAAAGGATGCTATGGGGGTGCCGCTACATCCCCTGGCCGAAAGTTTCGAGCTACACGTGTATTGTAACAAAACACATACAGACTCTTGGGGAGTAGCGGAGTGCCTCAACTTGTCTTCCCAGTACGCAGGCTACCGTAATACGCCCTTTTTATTCATAATACAGTTCAGTTCCGGAGGAGGCCGCAGCGCTCACTTGTGTAGGGAGTCTATGGGGAAGAGGGTGGGGGACTGGGTGTGCCAGCAAGTTCAAGCTAGTGGGTCGAACTATCGGCCCGGCGTCGTAGGTTGTTATACAGCGGTTTCGACGGGATTTGCACGTGGTTATGAGATTTGTAAATAAAGAATTTAATGCGGACTTTGCGGGTTTAAGTCTTTGGGATCAAGGTTGAAGGTCTGTGGTATCGGCTTGAAACCTTGAGCTTGTCAAGTGCCCTACGTCAGGACAATATGGGGTATGGGTTCCATCTTTGTGCGCAGTTGTCTGGCAAAGGGAAGGCACAAAAGCCAAGAATACAACGGATGCCGTGGCGTCGCTGGAAAGCTCAGGGTCTAAGTCTGAATGCTCTCATGCTTGGATTTAGATGGCGGCTGGACAACTTCACATTGGAACCTATAGATCAAACACAGTCTGACTCTACTCTACTGCCACGAATCGCTCTTTTGGACCCCCCTGCTGCCCTACTAACTCATACCCGTTTGCACAGCCTCGAAGCTGAGGCACTGACGACATGACTGTCAGGCGTCTTCGAAATCGTCTTTAGAGCATCCTCGCCAAGGCCAGAGTTGTCCGGGAGTCTACAAGTGGGATAGAAATAGGGTCTGCTGCGCGGGTCGAAAGTTCCAGGCTTGCGGAAAGTGTAAAGGTGTCAGGGTTTCAGATTTATGGGATCTTTAAAATCCGGCTGCGGGGCAGCACCGTCGTCCTGAAATCCTACTCTTACTCCAACAGCATGTTACTCAGAAACGTGTGCAACATCAAGAAAACCTTGTGAGGACGTGTTGACCTGATGTAACTGGTATCTTTGCAAGAATGGGAAGGGATGGCCAATCTAGATTCAACATCAGCAACCACTCAAACTTTGAACCCAGGCCAAAACACCGGATTAAACCTCTGGACCCTGAGAGGTTCGCCTTAGATGCCAAGCCAGACAACTTCGACCAGGCCGTGTTGGGACTGGAAATGGTTTAGGGTTTTGGCTTGGGGTTCACAGTTCTCAAGTCTTGGGATCGAGATGTACGCAAGTAAACTGTTAAACACCGACCGACAATGAGCAAAAACCTAAACCCTGAGTCCTCGGGGGCGGTCAGGAGGACCGCCGAGCGGATGGTGATCTGATCGCGAGTCCGCACTTGAGCAGTCTCAATGCTTGAAGTATGGGTCCAAAGCACGGAATCTCAAGTTGAGGGCTCGCAAACGCGAAGAAGATCAGTGATCAGTGCGAAACCCACCAATCCAGGACAGGACTGGGACATATCACAAACTGCACCCTCAGAGCCCCAACGGCCAGCCTCTCCAAGGGGGCACTGAGCACACTGCAGGCTGCTGCAGGGAACTTTCACATCCCCAGAGTAGAACGCAGTCCTAATCAGGAGGGGCTTTCCGGCTTTAAGGTTCAAAGTTTATAAAATGGGTTCTCTAAAGTTTAGGGCTTGGGGTCAGCGGCTCAGGGTGTGGAGTATTGGGCCCAGAGTTTCCTGAAAGAAACAACGGAAGGGGATGGGATCAGAACACACAGGCTTCTTCAGCTCCTTCTGTCCCGAAAAAACTTGATTGTGTTGAGCTTAGCTGGATGAAACTCGGCGAACTCGTGGCCATAAGCTTTCAATACCTAAGCCATTCTGAGTCGCACTCACATTGCTTGTATCTGTCGGTGCCACCATGGAAGACTCCTTCAAACCCAGCAGGGCTGTTGTCGGTTGGGGGCCCCTTGCTGCATGGAATATGGCGTCTGCACGGGAAGGGGGGTTTAAGCATCCTGTCGTCCAAGAACCCTACACCCGAAACCTTGTGAAAACCCCGAACCCACATCCACATTAGGACCCACATGCTTCCCTAAAATCGGCCAGGTTGTCGCAACGCAATCTTGGCGGGTACCTATGCAAACTGCGTGCGCATTTCCCGGCAAACAGTTGCACAGGCAGCCGGCCGACGTGGCATCTGTTCGGCTCTTGGTTTGCGACCCCGGCTTGACACGATGGCAATGGGAAGGTCTGGCTCTTGACTTTGCTTTGGCTTTGGCCTTCTGAAGGAAGGCGATCGGAAGCGACCGACGGGCGCAGACATAGTTGGGAGGCTGGCAGGCCGGATGCCAGCTCGTGACCGACTTTGCAACGTTCAGCTTCGCACCAAATGCCACCACGAAGGCATGGCGCGGTGGCCGTGATCACCACTTTAGGATTTGCGGTTCTAGGGATATTTGTTGGAGTTCGGCTTTTTTAGGGCTTGCAGGTTCGGGGGTTTGCGGTTTAGGGTTACAGTCTAAGTAGGGTTTGGGGCCAGGGCTTAGGGCTTAGGGTCTATCCTTCAGGGTGTCTTGTGAGTCGCAGCGCTTGATTTAAGCGTTCCGAGATAGCTGGCCTTCGGTTTCAGGATGCAACATATCTACTTGGAGGTTCATGGGTGGTTATACATGAGGTTATAAGTCCCCTAATGGGATTATAGCTATAGAAATCCTACTTATAACCCCACGTATATGCAACCATGAACCTCCAAGTTTGGCACATATTACAAACCTGGGGCCCCTGCCCCTTCCAACTATGTAAACTCGAAACATTCAGGGCCAAATCATGGAAACCTGCCGACGATGCCAAAAAGCCTTCAGCGCTCCTGCCCACTACAGTCTCATCTTATTGCTGCATATTGAAACTGATCCTGCTGTCAGATGCATCAGCCTTGCTTGCCTGAAAAACACGGCAAAGCTGTCGTACCTCTTCCCTTTTGTGAATTCCATGCATGTCTTTCTGCAGTGATATCTTGTCTTCGCCAACCGGTGCGATTGCACTAAACACTCAGTGCTGCAGTAAGAACCCGAACCAACAACGGCCTTATGCTCTCACAATCAACAGGCTCATCATAGCAGTCGCCGTCGCCGCATAACAGGGGCGGAAGTGTTCATCTGCCGTCGACTCTACATGCTTCTGTGGCAGTTCTACACTCTGTGCCGACTCTTCAACTCTGTCTCCCACCATGCTCGCCAACGCCCTCAACTCTCAACTCAACCCTGACCTGAAAACCCTAAACTCTAAACCGCACTCGCCTCGCGATGCCGGAGTGCTCCGTCAGAGCCCAACCAGCTGAGAGAGGCCCTCGGAGAAGCGACTGCCGCGCCTTCGAAGAGCATCTTTCGAAAGAGCTTCACTGGGGATCGTGTTGCAGCTGTGTTTTGGCGACATTAGCTGATGTTGTTTGTAATATCATTCCGGTCCCGCTGACGTTCAGAGTGACACGAGTCCGGGGCCTAGGGCAAGACATTTCCAGGGTTCACTCAGACAGAGACTGCGTTGTCGTTGTTCGGCCACAATGTCTCAAAAAGTCGGAAGGGGGTTGACGATCGGAGTTTTTGGGGTGCTTGCCTTGTCAGTGAGGTTTTGGCCTCCTGTGATCCAAGGACAATTCACACTCTCAAGAGGTTTTACAACTGGAGTTGGGCACGTCAACGCAGTCTGAAAGTTCGGAGCATCCTGGCAGTGTCGAAAATGACCCTGGCGCTGAAACGTAGGCACGGGCCGATGGCTCAAACGAGGACAATGTGGAGTCTTGCTGCGACAGGGGGATCGTACTGCTGCCTTCACCTTCTTTCCGAAACCCAAAGGCTGCAAACCCTTGAGATAGATTACCCTAGGGATCAAAATAGCCCAAAAGCCTTATATAGTATGGTCTTTGGGCCCAAAAGCCTTAATATATGAGTCCTTAGATCCCTAGGGTTATACTACAACATGAGTAGAGACCACACGGGGACAGCACTACTAATCCCTAAAGCACCTGGCAGACCGAGGCCGGTGAATCCACGGCCTTTGCCCCGAGAAGCGACCAAAGCCCAGCTTCAGTGGGTTTAGGGTTTAGGGTTTAGGGTTTAGGGTTTAGGGTTTAGGGTTTAGGGTTTAGGTGTCTGAGCTTGACGTCCAGACCCGACTTGTTGAACTCCGACCCAACCGCTGAAGAGGCCCGAACCACAGATGACATGCTGCTGCTAGAGGTTTTCATAGGGTCTAGGTAGGGTTTTGGGGTATGTTTTACCATAAATATAATGAGGAACCCCCAAAGCTGTATTGGTATTCATCTATAGACCCCGCATAGCATAAACCTTCTTGGGTTTTGTTTAGCGGTGTTGCCCGGGCCCTAAACCCTAAACCCTAAACCCTAAACCCTAAACCCCCGAGCTTGCAAAGACCCAGAGAGGCCCTCTGCCTGCCGCACCGGCAGGGGCCAAGCCTCTGTCGCAACGAGCACGAAAATCCTAGACTAGACCCTAAATCCCAAAAAGAAACCCTGGCCTGAACCGTGAACCCGGGCTAAGTTAGGAAAGGAGTAGATGAGGCTGCAACTACATAAACGCACTGTCGGATTCTTATTCAAAAGACTTTGCATCTCAGCGCGGTATGTTTGAGGCCTCAAGCATGCTGTATAGCATCATCTACACCTCTTATCACAGCAGAAGTTCTACCGAAGGCAAGACCCCGAAGCCTACAGACTCCAACAACCGAAACAGAAACCCTCAAAAACCCTAAACCCTGATCCCTAAGCCCCCATCCCTGTTGCTTCCAATTCCCTCCCCCCCCCCCCCCCCGCCCCGCGCTGTCGACTTTGGGTTCCCGACATCGTCGACGAACATGCGCAAATGCTGCTGCAGGCCTTAGGCTGGGGCAGAGGGCTTAGAGCTCAGGGGACTTTGAGTTGGCTTGCCTTTAGAGCCCACGCTCTTGCAGTCTGAACTCGTAAATTCCGGCATTTTCTGCCGTAAGATCATGGCAGAAAAAGCTAAACAGGCCCTATTCAACGCCCTGGCACTGCCCCGCTTTATCCCCTCTATACTGCCCAAGCCACTGTTTTGGAGAGTTGTCCAGGATCTCATGTAGCTGGTCGTGGGGTCGAAGAAGCCTGTTCAAGTTGAGTCCACAAGTTGTCAAGATATGCTAAGACTTAATGCGCGGCGTCTTTGAAGGAGTTGCTGCAGTGCCGCACGCAGCGAACGCCTCCACCCGAATCCTTCGGAGAGGTCTGAAATCCCGAAAGGAACCCCGGCTGCCCTAAACCCATGCATTTTACTAACCTAAGAAGGCCCCCAAAGGGACCCTTGTAATAGAAGCCCTAGGAAGCCCGATGCTCACGATGAACCCCCTCAGATTATCGTACTTCTTCCAAACCCTGGAAAGTTAAGCCTGCAGCCTCGCGCTACTGTCAGGCACCACACCCCAAATATCCCTATAAACCATACCTCACGCTTCAATCGCCCATCCATTTACCTTGTGTCCCATGCCAGCCTTCCAACTGGGAATCCCCCGGACGACAAACCAAAAATTCCAAAGACCCTCACGAAACCTCGAACCGCGAACCCTAAACCTCAATAAACCCCGCGCCGCAAATCCTAAACCTCACTAAAACTCTGACCATGAACTTCAACCCAAACCATAACCCCCAAAATTATCATCGCAGCCCTCAGGGGAAGAGGGAAGGCCTAAATCGGCACATCGGAGCCAATCCTGAAGGCCAGGCGGCTTATGGTTTGTAGGGTTTAGGGCGTTTAGGGTTTAGGGTTTAGGGTTGTAGAGGTTTGCGGAAACCAACAATAGCAACTACTTCTGGAAATCAACAACAACGATGGTGGCACTAACCAGATCATACTCCTGCTGCTGCTGCTGCTACTACTACTGCTACTCCGACTACTACGACTACTACGACTACTACTACTACTACTACTACTACGACTACTACTACTACTACTACTACTACTGCTGCTTGGCAACGGCGCCCGTACGGGGCCGTGCGTTCAGACACATTTCGGACCGGGGTGGTGGGGGGGACTTATTGACGTCCGGTTTCCGTAGACATGAAGATGTGCTTGTGCAGATCGCACATCCTGGAAGCTTCTTGCTGGCCCAAGCATAGATTGCGGGGATGCTTGGCTGGTTGGCGCTGACTTTATTTGCGCTGCTGATCCTGCGGCAGACAAGTGGGCTCTTGCGACTACGAGTTTTTCCTAATCTGGCTTCTCCTAGCAGGGCTGAAATGCAGTCAACAACTTTTGAACTCGCTCAAGTAGCGAGGATTGTTCTAGAAGCTTTAATACCTTACCATCTAGTCAAGGGCACCGTCAAATAAGCCTCTTCAGAAATGGTTTAGGCCCAACGGCACTAGAACTATACTCTCAAACTCGTTCACTGCTCAGCGATCGTGAGGCCTCGAGGTAGTCACCAACTTTTCGCGTGTCATACTAGTATGAAAGATTTTCCTAGAAGTTTCAACCCTTACCTTCTCTAGAACGGCACCGGGTTCTAAGCAACGCAGACCTGCAACATGACTTTGCCCCCAGAAAAAGAAGTGTCAAACCCCGCCGTGCTGTGGCCTGAGCACGATCTTGCAGCTTTTCTTTTTCAAGCTATCCCTTGCCAAAAGCACTCTCCGAAAAAAGGCCTCCGAATACACAAAATGCTGACAGTGCAACACACATCTGCGCTGTGGCGAGAGCACGATTTTCAAGCATAAAAGATCTTGAAACTTTCAGTGTTCGAAACCCACCGCGCAAATTTCGAACAAGCGCATCGCGAAAACCCAGGTTCAACACAAGTTTGTGTGAGCTTCTAGTGTAATCGGCACCTGCGAAGGCGCCATGCAAAACGCACGTACCTACTTCTACTACTACTACTACTACTACTACTACTACTATACCACTACCACTACTACTACTACTACTACTACTACTACTACAGCTACTGCTACAGCTACTGCTACTGCTACTACTACTACTACTACTACTACTACTACTACTACTACCACTACTACTGTACTACTCCTACTACTACTACTACTACTAATACTACTACTAGTACAAGTACTGCTACTGCTCCTACTACTACTATACTACTACTACTACTACTACTACTACTACTACTAGTACAAGTACTGCTACTACTCCTACTATTACTATACTACTACTACTACTACTACTACTACTACAAGTACTACTACTACTACTACTACTACTACTACTACTACAAGTACTGCTACTGCTCCTACTACTACTATACTACTACTACCACTAGTACTACTACTACTACTACCACTACTACTACTACTACTACTACTACTACTGCTGCTATCGCTACTGCTACTGCTACTGTTATTGCTAGTGCCACTGCTACTGCTTCTGCTGCTGCTGCTACTGCTGCTGCTCCTGCTCCTGCTGCTGATCCTGCTCCTGCTCCTACTCCTGCTCCTGCTGCTACTGCTGCTGCTGCTACTGCTGCTACTGCTGCTGCTACTGCTTACTACTTCTGCTTCTACTGTTGCTGCTGCTGATGCCACTGCTCTGCTGCTCCTCCTGCCGCTGCTGCTTCCACG